TTGTGCTCGTCTGTCGTGAAGAGAGCTGGGCTAGAAAGCGAAGCTCTCAAATTAGCGGTCGATCTAAGTTCCAACTCTCACCTATGGTCACCCAGCTTTAGGTAGTGACCAAAGGAACGAGGTCATGGATAAAAGAGGCCAAAATGAGTTTTCTCTGCTGGATGACAAGGCTCTCGCTTAAAGATGGGGTGAGAAGCTCGGTCCTCTGGGAGGGGCTCTGACTAGATCCACTGCTCCTTTACATTGAAAGGAGCCATTTGAGGTGGCATCTGGTTAACTCATTCACTGCCATTGACGACTAAAGTCGTCATTTTAGATCCAACCGTTCACTGCCAGTGACGACTAGTCGTCATTTGCATTTTTTTTTTTACTGTTTGAGCATCGGAACGATCCCCCGCGCTGAGAGAACAAACATCTCAGCCCTGAAGCCGATCTTCATCCGCATACGTCACATGATCAGGAAGCAGACCATCCATGTATTAGGAGATCGTTTTGGGCCGTTCCTGTAAAAAAAGTGAGGCGTGAACCGGAAAAGCATCTGCCGATCACAATTCAATAACGGATTATGAAAGAACGGATAACGCTCGAAACACACAGATTTTTCTTGATGAAAGAGGTGAGTCTCCGCTTTGTTTTGGTTGTTTTGGCATCGACATAATCCTAGTGTGCAACGTTCTGTGACTCTTGTAAAAACTGAGAAACGCTGGCAGCGAAGGCCGTTAGCGATCAGGAAATGGCTGGCAGTGAATGAGAAATGCCTTCTGGACGCCTCCCTGGTGAGGTTTTTGTGCATGTCTAACTGGAAGGAGACCAGGACACGCTGGAGGGACTGTTTCTCCAGGGAAGTGTGGGTCTTTCTGCTTAGGTTGTTTAACCTGCGACCCTACCTTGGATAAGCAGATGAAAATGTGTGGATGGAATTCCCCTATCACAAATTTCCTCTGTCATTGTACAAAATCTGTTCTTTATTCATTTCTGGTTTATTCCAGTGTGCTAAACCTGGAATGTACCTGATGTGAAGATTTTTACATGAAATAGCAGTTGGAAAAAGATTAAAGTAATAATCTATAACATTTTCTCCTATTCAGTTTTATAAATAAACTTTAAAAAATTCCATCTTGATTCTAAAAACTGGTTGTTTAATATTTGTGCAGGTTTCAAATGTTAGACATTCCTCAGGAGTATTCTTCTAAAACCCTTTTCTGAGCATTTGCACATTGAAATCGTGGGTCAGACTAAGCTCTACGGGCCATAATTTACATTAATAAAACACTTGGATTCAAAGAATATTGATGTACGTACATCAGTTTTGAAATTCATTTAAATTTTATAAGTTATACCATTTGAAAAGGTATTTGATATTAAATTAAAGCTTTTCCTATAGTACCATAGCCACGCTACAGCACGGTGGGTCACAGAACAAATGCCAGGGTTAATAGTATGTACACTGTCCCATTTAGTTACAGTTTCAGTGTGTTATTCCAAAGGGTTCAAATGAAGGCAACTGGACTTTGGTTTTTTGAAGACGTTTCGCTTCTCATCCGAGGAGCCAAAACTACAATGGATACCCCGCCTTTTGTTTTAGCTCGTTAAGTAACAGACAGCTACAGCTTATAAGCTTGACTCCCATATTCCAGTTATAATTGACAAAGCTCCTCGGATGAGAAGCGAAACGTCTTCAAGAAACCAAAGAAGTCCAGTTGCCTTCATTTGAACCCTTTGGATTACCATGACCTGGATGACTGAGAACCTTCACCAGCATATTTCAGTGTGTTACTCGAGATTTCACATTTGTTGCCTTCTTTGGGATAAAGGAATGCTTCAGGAGTTGGTTAGCCGATGGCCGTAGTTTCTGGTCACTAGAGTTGATAAAGCAAAAAATGAAAATGTCAGAAATGGAAACCAGTTCGACACCACGTTCATGTATCTCAATGTACTTCATTTCAACCATGAACTGCTTACCTTGTCAGACAGACTTGTACAAAGTGCTTTGCCGATGCTGAGAACCCATCTGGGAGCCCTGGCATTGACCCTCTCTGAGCCCCAATATAGAACAGAGCCGCTATCCGGTCCATGTGTGCAAGTGGCGGTTTCCCAGTGGCCATTTCAAACACTGTGCAACCAACACTCCAAATATCTGACTTCCTGCCATAGCCGGACTCATTGATAACCTTCGGCGTGTGATGAGAGTTAGAACACAGGATTTAAAGACAAGTCAAATTGTGAAATGTATTAAATATTGATACCAAACAAAAATAAACCAGATGTACCTCAGGTGCCATCCAATAAGGTGTACCGTGGATCGACTTTAGCACCTCTCCACTGTTACAAGCTGTGTGGTTTAAGCAACTGAGCCGTCGTGCACATCCAAAATCTATCAGCTTGATGACACCAGTTGGCATCAACATTATATTGTTCCCTTTTAAGTCCCGATGAATTACCCTGTTCAGGTGAAGGTATGCCACCCCTTCAAGGATCTGCTGGGTGTACAGGGCCAGGACTCGTTCTGGCAGTGGACCAAATCTAGAGGCATTCAGAGGAACATTTATTTATTATTTAACTTAAATCGTAAAGATTTTCATGGGAAGCAACGAACCTGTGAAGTATGCTACCAATGGATCCCCCTGGGATGTACTCCATGAAGATGGAAACAACGTGTTGGTAAAGGGAAGTACCCAAGAAGCCGACTATATTGATGTGTTGAAGAGCTTTAAGTAACTCCACCTCCCCCTGAAGATGGTCGTACTCTTTCTTTGCAGCGTCAGGATCGGAGGAATCCAGATAAACCTGCTTCACAGCAATCAGCTGGCCCAGACTGGTCAGGCCACAGTATACCTGCAACAAAGCAGTTTGGGTCAGTGTTGGTAAGGGTACGTTAAAGGAACAATCCTAGCGTACTTACTGTGCCGTACGCTCCTCTGCCAAGTACTTCCCCCTTGGTCCATGTGATATTGTTCTCTCCAACCAACCCAGAGTCAAGAAGATCATCTCTTTCTAATGGAGCAACCTGTGATAAAATACAAATTAGTCCGTTATTCAGACAACTAAGATCGAGAGAGCAGAAATGTAGATTATAGGATTTGGTCATTATTAACCACAAAGTCACCTTTTGTTCCATAAAAAACTTGAAGGTTTACCTCTGAAAATCGATTTTGTCTAGGTACGAGCTCTTCCCCTCGGCTGAGCTTCTTTTTACTTTGCTCTGGGTCTTCCAAACCTGTAGACACTTCCCTTTCATCCAAGGAGATCAGCTCCTCTGCCAGACACTGTAGTAAGTCATCTGTCAGTGGACTGTTTCCCACCTCATCCAGAAACTTTTTGTACACGGGTGAAAGATCGGCATGGCAGCAGCTGCTGCTGCTGCTGCTAGAAGACCTCCATGTATTGATCTTTGACTGTTGATGACTTGATGAAGATGCAACATCTGGTACTGGGGTTGGATTTTCTGTTTTTAGAGAATCTGGAGACAGTTTGTGCTCATGGAGGAATCTGTAATCTATCACATGGATGGAAGATGTTGGCGTAGTCAGAGTTGCATCATCAGCTTTTAATGTGTCATATTTAGAAACCGCTTCTTCTATGGTCAGTAATGTCTGATATTCGTTCTCCTCTTGACCACGTTTGTGACTTATAGCATCCATAACAGGGGCCACCTCAGCTTCTAGTTTAGGACTAATTTCTGTTCTGTGAATGGCCTTCCTATTAAAAGATGAAATAGGTTTTGCTTTGCTTTTAGCTGGAACAGCTGCACTTTCCCCTGAGCGTCGCTTCAGCTTGGTCTGTACTGGTTTTAAAGGTCTGCGTTTGACTTTGCGGTACTGTTTTGTTCTTTTAGTTGCAGCGGACTCCAGCTGTGTTGCTTTAGGTCTCCCACAGGAGCTGGAAATCTGTAAGTTTTCAGAAATGGGACCGGCAAACATCTCATACATGACTGGTCCTTCATCATCACTTTGGATCTGCTGAAACAAGTTTTGGTAGGTCATGAGATCCACAGCAGATTTAGATCTTTGGGCTTTCCCACCTGAACATGCTTTCTTTAACTGTTGGGCCCTTTTTGGCCCCGTCACGGGTGTGTTCTGGTGTGCTGCGTTGTCCTGTGGGAGTTCACAAACCACACGTGGGCTTGCAGTGCTCCTAGAATTCGTCTTTAACTTGAATTTGGTCAAAGTGTTGTAATTAGGGACTGTCAAGTCAGGGCTTTCCCTGGTTTTATCTTCAACATTCATTTTGGTCCTCCTGAAGCCTAAAATATTTTGATCTTTAGTTCCAAACATAGACTGTTTCGTTTGATTATTTCCTCTGGAAGCATAATTCTCGCTGGTTCTTCTCTCCTTATTCTGGGCTGCCATCAAAGTTTTAAATGTCTTTTTGTCCTTCTTGGAAACTATTGGGCCCTCGGGAGTGTTTTCACTGGTTGAATATTGCGACTCGGTTTCTTTTATTTGTTGTTTGTTTCTTTCATAACTTTCATCACCATGAAGATCATTTAGGTCAAACACTTGGCCTATCTCAGCGTCCAATTCAGCTGTGAAGCCCATGTCCCTCTTGTCTTCACTAAATGCTGATTTGACTTGCTCTGTGTTGTTAGTTTCTCCATCAACCAACCCATCCTGACTGATTTTTGGCTGACTGGCTAGCTGAGCAGTCTCCTGAATGTTTTTCACATCATCCTCGTTCTCCAGATTGATAGAACTTTGGCTACTGGACCCGCTTTCCTCACTGCCTGCCTTATTGATGGGATAGTTTTGACAAGGGCTGTCCCAGAATGGCCTCGCTCTACTCAGCTGGGTCCTAGTGCAAAGGGGACTAATGGGTTTTAGGGGAACGTGTTGCTGTAACACTGGCAGAACTTTGCTATCTCGAACTCGTCCATCCAGAGGTGCCAAGAGCTTTGGTGTTCGAGAACGCAAAACTGGAAAAGGGCCCTTGGAAAATGGCATAGAATCAAAAAACAGTGGTCAAAAACAGGTCAAAAAACACAATTGATGTGTCTTTATCCCACTTTGTTGCATATATAAAGATTAAATTACATTCACCTTCTGTTCATTTGAAGCACTTTGAGGACCCAGCCCTGCAGATGAGAAGTTGCCAATTTAAAACCGTCCTCCATCATTAGAGTTTCTAAACACAGGCTTTGAATATACATACGGGTCTGAATGTTGACTCTGGCCTGCATCACATTGGCACACAGCAGGGGTTCCATGACACTGGGAGCTGATTGGCTCAGCTGGCTGGACTCTGAGGCAGACGGCAAACCGCGGGAAGGTGGGGAAGCATCAACCACACTTCGTGTTCTCTGCCTTTTGGGTACACATCAAAAGCATTACATGCAGGTCAGATAAAGGCAGTAATGGCTCACGTGACTTTATGTACCTTGGTCTGGGAGGTACGGGCTGGCAGGCGGTCCTGGTATTTAGTAAACCAGTTGACAGAGCATTAGCTGCATGACTCCAGTGTTTGTTAACGTTGCTCAAACTGGGGAGACACAAAACTCTGCAAATGGGAGAAAAATGCATGAATATTGGTGTTTCTGGAGCAGCAGCACATTGAACATAATTTCTTATGCACAAAAAAGTAATTTAGCTTTATTTCCTTTTACCAAACTCAGTAAAAACTTGTTAACAAACGCCTGGAAGCTGATTCTATGAAATCAGATAACTATTCTCCTCTGGGAGCTTGGACGTGATTCAGTCCTGAGAGCTGCTCATAACAGACAAAGGTCTGATTCACCAAAGTTCTTTCCCCGTTTCTGTGTTTGGGTAGAACAGATTGTCCTCTGGATGCGGTGACAGGTGCCTGCATACAGGTGTGTGAGTGTAACCAGAGAGGACTCTTTTCTACAGCTGGTGTAAAAACTCAGGCATATGCTAAGCAGCCCAGGAGGAAGTGCAAGAAGTTGTGTGTTGGGGTGAATTGGCGGGTTTACCTTTACACACATGAAATATTTGTGTCTAAACACCTGTTAGGGGTTGTGATAACATGTTTTTATGTTGCATTTTCTTTCTTGTGCAACTGATATTCATTACAAATAACAAAATTAGGTGAGAGAGACATTTTCCTACCTGCTTCCTCTTTTAAAATCTTGGTTGACTCGCCCAATGTTTTTTTCTATTTCCATGGTGTTTTTCAAATAGGTTACATGCCCTTTATCTCCTTATAAAAGACACATATATTAATGTAATATTCACACACACACACACACACACACACACACACACACACACACACACACACACATTTCTGTTTTCTAACTATATGTAACTTAAATATAACATTTCTTTATTCATTGTTTAAAAAAGCTTAAGCCAGTGAACTATTGTAGTGCCCTTTGATTTCCTGTTCCATAAAATTAAAATAACAAATGAAAAGTGTCACTATAATAATATTTATTATAGAGGTATCAACTCACCTGTTTCCAAGTCTGTGGCTCCTCTCTGCTCCCATGTTGAGATTTCTGTTAAAGAAACAAAAATTAACTCATACTCTTATCAATCAATACTCTTCCTCTGCCATCGCTCCTCATATCATGAACCACACCGTGGTAAAAGATGCGCAGCAAGGTTCCTCACATCAGAGGCTTGTTTTGTGTGGAAACCCCTCCTATCCAGTCCCTCAGCCCCCTCCCTCCCTGTGGAGGTGATTCTATCTGAGGGCCTCTCTAAGCCGCTGACCATTACGCTCTTTGTCAGCGTACTGTAAAAAGCCTGGATGGAGGCTTTCTTCTACAGATCCACACCCGTAGATAAGGATTTATAGATTATTACTGACAAAAAGTCCATTATTATTTAAACTCTTAATCTAAAACACAAAAAGCATGTGTTGAGCTGCCGTTAAGCTGCTGATCATGTGCAAATATTTCAGCAAAACTTCTACTACTATCATTTTTATGTGCAATAATTGTCTTAACTTACAATTGAATGCTTTTTAATTATGTTAGTTATATAACAATATTATGTTACTTACTTCTATAAATCCTGTGTGATATCTTGTGTGCTACTGCTACTATTTTACTGTACTTGGGCTGTTGCAATAAGGCAATTTCCCCAGTGAGGGACAAACAATTGTATATTCTGCTTTTGAACACTGGTTTTGTTGAGTTCTTGTACTTTTAATTAGAAGAATTTCCTCCTTTTTAATGTGTCTAAATTCCAGTTGTTCTAAAATAAATGATTAAAACTTAATGTTGGCCACAAACATCTGACATATTTCACTATAACATATACATTTTTTAAACATACATCTGAAGATAGACATTTTATAGGTGAATACTTTAAAAAACTTTGATCCTTTATGACCATCAGCACTAAATCTAGTTAAAATTAACGAGAATGAATTTTTAAATGTTTTTTGTTAACAAAACTGCCCTTACCTTGGCTTAAAACCTTTTGGTGAAACAGGAGATTGCTTTCTGGATGTTGAAAAATTATCTATAAAGAACACACATTTGTTTAAAAATGTGATTATCATTCTCAAAATTTAAAACAGACAATTTTTTGATTCATATTCATCTTAAGCCAGTAAAATAAACGTAAAATTACTAAAACTGTGAATTCTAATCAGCAACTCAGGGTAAAATATTAAATAAGCAAAAACAAGCCACTGTTTATGTTTATATTATTTACAAATCATTGTAAAATTATCACTAACAATAAAGGTGTGGGACACTCATTTAATCAATACAGTTGTAGTGGTCTCGATTAGGAATGAAAGCCTTGTAAGTCGTACTCTGGGAGAATAAAAATACGGGAGCACCAAACTAGAAATGAGCCACATGCAGCTGAGCTTCAGACGGCAGGTTTCGAAGTCTTATTTCCTGATTTTTCATCATCATCTTTATTTATATAGCTCTTTCCAACTGCCAGGAGGCAAACCAAAGTGCTGTATGTAAAGTCCAGCAATGGCCAGTTTTTAGGTACGGTTTGATCATTCAACATCTGGTCAAAAAGGAGACACAAGCCTGCATGTGTCCCCTCTAAATCAGCCCGCCTCCATCCCAGCAGCTGGAGCTCAGAGCCTCTCTGCAGCTCTGAACACATGATAACGAACCCTAACCCTAACCCATCGTCACAATACGTTTGCAATTGACATGTTTGCACTTTAAATATGTTTACGATTTTAATTTATGTTAAGTTACTTGAAAAACGAGAAAAACTGATTTTTGTAATTGTTTCTCTCAGGGCTTTTATCATCTCTGGTGTGAGTTTAAAATATAAGTGTGTTAGCACTGTGTTGATTATTTCTAATATGAATAAATGTTTATTTATTCAATGTTTCTCTTCTTTAATACGCAATTGAAGTTATGCTATTCATGGATAAAAAATCGTGATAAATCGAAATCGTGATAAAATATTGGAAAAATCGTGATATTCTATTTTTGCCATATCGCCCAGCCCTAGTTCCATCTGTCTGTCATGACCTGAGACATCTCTGGACTGGAGAAGTCGGTGCTGTGGTCAATCTACTGGATCTTCGGTGCCAGAGGTCATCCGACCTCTCTGACCTTTGGATCCACCAAGAGGGTCTCCGAAAACGGGTGAAGTAGACGCACAGATAGCGTCTGATGTGCTTTTTGATATTA